GAGCAGCGAGGACCAGATCTCCTTCCTTGAAGCTTCTCTGTCGGACTCTTTTGTTAAAAGCCCTTGACATCCTGGCTTGGTAAAACTCGATGTGTTGTTGAGCCTCCAAACGCTTTTCATCCAGCCTCTCGAGCTCTTCGAGACGCTTCTGATGTTGTTCCTCCGTCGTCATCTCCGTTGCGAGGGCGATCCGAAGGGACGGAATCTGAATTTCCAGCGGTAGCACAGCTTCACATCCGTATACCAGCGAATACGGGGTAGCTCCCGTAGGCGTGCGTATGGTGGTGCGATAAGCCCAGAGTGCTTCACCGAGTTTATCGTCCCAGTCTCGTTTATTGGTCTTCACGAGCTTTGACAAGATCTTGATGATCGTCTTGTTAAACGCCTCCGCTAATCCATTCGCGGCGGGATAATAAGGTGTTGATGAAACATCTTCAATTTTGAACTTGTCGCAGAATCTGACGAAGGCATTGCTTATGAACTGTGGACCGTTGTCATGAATGATCCTTCTTGGCACGCCGTGTCGGTAAATGACATGATGCTTGATGAAATTGATGACGTTGTTCGTCTTCACTTCTCTAAGCGGAATCGCTTCAGCCCACTTTGAGAAATAATCTGTGATCGCGAGGATGAACCGATCACCTTTGACTGAAGGGGGAAAAATAGGACCGACTATGTCCATGCCCCAAGTCTCGAACGGCCAAGACGTGGTTGACGTGTGCAACTGCTCTGGCGGTTGATGCATATAATTCGCATGTATCTGGCAAGCGTGGCATTCTCGTGCGTATTCGATTGCGTCACGAACCATCGTTGGCCAGAAATATCCCATCCTCCTGATGCGATCATACAGTTTAGGACCGGGCTGATGCGCACCACATTCTCCTTCGTGTGCTTCCTTAAGAACTTCCTTTGCTTCTCTGTTCGAAAGGCATCGGAGTAAAAGACCGTCGTACCCTCTACGGTATAATGTATGGGTTTCAGTATTATAGAAGAATCTTGGAGCTCTTCGGCGGATTGATTCCTTTTCTTTTACATCCTCTGGCAAGATACCATATTGGCGCTGTCTGTGCCTTGGGCCGATGGTTCAGTATCGGATTCGTTACCATAAAGGAGAGAATCAGTGAAATAATTCTCATACCCTTTAAATGGTTGCTTATCCGCGACCACCGTTCTAACCCCATAAAGGAGAGAATCGGTGAAATAATTCTCATACCCTTTGAATGGTTGCTTATCCGCGACCACCGTCCTAACCTCATTGTCAGTGTCGACATACTTCAAACACTGATGGAGAGTAGAGGGAATTATAACATTACTATGGATCCAAGGCCGACCCAGTAGTAAGTTATATGATGTCTCAGCATCAATCACGTAACACGTGACCTCCGTCTTCAGATCTCCCATTTGACACTTTATCCGGATTTTGCCTAAAGGTCTTGACCCGCTGGTGTTGAATCCGTAAATGACCGTGCCTGTGGACGCCAACTTGCTGACTGGAATACCGAGGAAATGCATCAAGCGAAGCGGCATAATACTCACAGCAGAACCCGGATCCACTTGGATTCGGTTGACTTTGCTGGAGCCAATGTACCCGACGAAATATAACGGCCGATCGTGGTTCGAATTCTTCGTCTGCATATCCTCTTTGGTCTCAGCGGTTCTGGATTTTCAGGCACCGGCTTGACTTGAGTCAGAAACACCTCGGAATTGGCCAAAGCTTCTTGCAGGGCCTCCCTGGTTTCCTTGGATAACCGCAGCAACTCATACAGCGTTATCCGTGCTGGAATGTTGGCTAGTTACGCCATAATATCGAAGCTGCGCAGAGCGTTCGAGCTTTCCGGTTTGTCTCTTCCAATCGGGCGGCTGAAATGAGACTGCTTCGGATTTTACACCTCCTGGGGATTCTTCTCTTTTGGTTTATCCACCGGCTGTCGTAGAGCTTCTTTACCCGGTGTGGGACTCGTAATCACCCCCATCTCTGTGAGAGTTTTGGCTGGTCCCCGTTTGTTCACCCCCTGCTCACTAGGTGGCGGATAATTGTAGTGATATTCATTTCCGCTTCTAGTGGCAAAAGCTTCTTGTTCTTCTTCGCCATCCTCTTCGAAGATTGCAGATGTAGCATTGCAGGACTTGCCTTTGCCTTTTCTTCTCGAGGAAGTCGTCCATTGTTCGTCTTCAATTAGATCAGGATGAACCCATAAGATTTCGCCGTTTGGTGCTGCGTGTGTCACAAGTCCCTTTTGGCGCTGTCCATGTGGGTCATCGTTCACTGTCTTCATCCCTACTTTGGTGATGCACTCTGGTTTGAACCATGCTGCGGGTACCGATCCAAAGCTGATTGACACTACGTTTGCTCCAACATTCTTGGACGGCTTCGGGGTTATGACGCCTACATCAATTAGCGCCTGGATCTTGTCCATGAGGTGGTAGCACGACTTGGTTGGGTGATGGACCGCTCTATGGTATGCGCAATACTTCGGATCCGTCACTTTGTTTGCTCCTTCTTGATCCACAATCGCCGACAGCTGAATTTTGTTGGTGGCCTTCTTCCTTCTAAGGAATCGCTCAGCCTGCTCCCCTCGGGCCTTCAGATCCTTCCAAGTGTCAGACGGTGCTGTTCCCATTGCTTCCAACACGTCCAACGCAAGGTTGTTGTGGCAAGTTTGGAGGATGAATTCCTCTGTGATCGGGTCCCGGCAATTCATCGCCTTGTTCCGGAATCTTTTGACGAAGGTATCGACTAACTCTCCGTCCTTCTGCTTCTCATCGAGCAACGATCCGATAGATATCTCGGTGTCGTCGTCGAAGAAGTTGGCCAGGAACTTGGTCTCCATGTCATCCCAGCTGTTTACGCTGCCTGGCTTGAGGCGGCGATACCAATCGAAGGCGGCTCCGCGAAGAGTGCCGACGAATGACCGCACCATCAGAGGCTCATTACCAGAGATCACCCCCAAATGCGATTTGAAGTAAATCAAATGCTGGGTAGGTGAACCCATCCCATTAAACGGCGTGAAGTTAATTAGATTAAACTTCGCCGGATATGGGATCGATTCCCATTCTCTTGGGTATGGGCAAGGAATGCCTGTTTTCTTCGTCTCTTGAGCGGAAATTAGTGTGTTGATTTTGCTCTCGAGGTTCTTGATCTTCAGGTTTTCGCCGGTTTCTTCGCCAGCATTCTCATTACCACCCCCTGCGTTGACGGGAGGATCATTGGTGTTACGAGCATTTGTATCCTCATCTTCCACATTAATCGGGTTACGATGATTCTGCTCGCCTTGTTGGTTCGCCAATGCTTGGATCTGTTGGTCATGCATTTCTCTCATCTGCTGCATGGCCATCTCCATCTCAAATTTGAAACTTTCTTTCTGCTTAGCCAAAGCGTCTTCAAGCATCTTGGCCATCTGCTCCGCACTTATCATCAGGGCCTCGCGGGGTTGTCCCTCGCTGGATACTGTATTATCTGATGCCACCGCGGAGCCGGCATCAGATTCTTCATCTTCTGACGGGCGTCTTGTCCGAATCCTACCATAAGTTGCTCGCTCTATGGTTCCGGACTGCAGACGGGTTCTAGGTCGGGAGGCTCTCAGAATCGACTCGAAATCATCCCGTGCCGATGTCCCCTTGCTGGTCATGTTGGTGGTGACCCTCGGAAATTCTCCGTCTTCAATCACCCTTCTTCTTCGTTGGAAGCGCCTAGGCCTTGGTTTTGGCGTTTCCGCATTAAGTCCTTCAAAAACTGAAACTCTTTCGGGGACCGCCTTGATGCAGTTGCATTCAGACAATACCGCCCGAATGAGTTTGGAACAGGGGCATTGAACTTCCTGTTCTCGGGGACTCCTCTTCCTGGTTTTATTCGTACCCCCAGCACGATAGTACAACTCGTCATTTTGATAGTTGGAGTAACTTATCGTGTGCGGGCACGACTTCTCAAGTACAACACTATCCCTATCAGATGATAATGTTTCCATCTGAGGTTGGATCGCCTTCTTTGGGCTTTCAA